AACCTTTTCTCATCAAGGACCCCTAAACTGACACAAACTAGACCACGGCCCCCCATCTGGTAGGGTTTTAGATATTTTAATTATATTTTCATTATCTATTAATGCGCCATTTATTCTCATGATTAATCGACTAATCGTTTGGTTTATAAAATGTCAAGAAATGTTGAAAATGTTCGTCGCAATTGTCCAAAACACAAAGTGACGTCTTTAATTTCCTTCTTTTGTCCAACCAACTGTCCAAAACCCAAAAGACTCTTTGTTTACAGTTTTAAAAGACAAAAAACTGCAGTTCTTGAACCATAATTCTTTTTACATTTTTGCTTAAAAAAAAGGAAAAAAGACTGAAACAATTAATCGATTAAAATATTGCGACTGACTAATTGTTGCATCTCTTTCCTTATTTTATAAGATAAGCATGTTTTGTATATAAAATATTAATCTGTAAAGACACTGGTGGATGAAATAGAAACACAGTCAAGTAGCAGTATAAAGTATCACGACATAGTACTTTAATATATCTAAAAGTACTTTAAAATTGCACCAAAGTAAATACTCTAGTAAATGAAGCCTACTTACTCTCCACTACACACACATTTTTATAATAGTACACACAGTTTCACCACATTATACCTGAATCAGTACCCACCTGAGTGTCCTCGTACCCGCCACCTCTTGGTATCAGACACGAGCAGCTGATATGGCGTCCTGTGTTAAAGTGTGTCACTGTGGTACTTCCTGTCCTCAGTGTGACCTCGGGGAGCACTGCGCCATCAGGAAAGGATCTCGCATCGGGAAGATGTGCGACTGCCCCCGAGGAGCTTTCTGCAACTTCTTCCTGCTGAAGTGCTTATGAGCCAGTCACGCAACACAGCAAGAGTTTATTTTAACATGTATATTTTCCAAATATATATAAATATATAAATGATGTAAAGTAGCCTAGAATATATATAATAAATGCTTCATGAAGCTGAACGTGGAGGAAGTCTTTCTGTGATGTTGTGTGTTGCATTAAACGCTGATTTTTCCAGCGACTCCTCTTTGTTTTGCTGCTTTTTAAAAGTTAAACACTGAATCTGTGAGATTTAAAAGGATTAAATGTTTTGAGTTTGAATGACAGTTACAGGTTTGTGACGCTTTAACTTCGGCCTCACATTTCACAGCATCAGCAAGATAATCGGAGTCAATTCAAAAATGATATAAATCTATCCGGATAGTTCAGCTGTAACTTTTCAGGGGAAAATGTGAAATACAGTCTTATTCAGCCTATAAATCATTTTCACGATGTGCTTTTCTGTGTCTTATTTTAGGGAAAAAAATTCTAATTGCGATGATTTTTGACTGATTGTGATACAAGAGGGGGGAATTATTATTTTCACATTCTCACTGAAAAACATTAAAATGATTAATGTGTGATTTCTGAAAGGATCTGTACCGAACAAAGATGTTTTCCTGAAGTCTGCAGATGTGACGCCAGGACGTCTCTGCAGCGCCACAATAAACCCCGACTCAACAAAAAGCCTTTTAGATCCCCATCAGCGTCCCGAGACACCTGCACATGCTTCGTTTTGACAACCGCATTGCACTTAAAAATGTGTTTGCACAGACAGGCTCCTGAGAATCTCTGCGACACGTGCAGCCATGTGCAGGGGAGGAGGGGAGGTCAGTGCTGGTGATGGAGGAGGAAGGGGGTGTGGCCTACACGGATGCGCTCGAATGTATGAATGACATCATTCTCTTGACATTTTGGTGCCATGAGCAGCAACACTGAGCATCTCCTCCGTCAGACAGAAACAGCCTGGCTGATCTGTGCGTCGACAGTATAATTAATGGACGGAGCCACGCTGCACGATTAAACGGAGCACTGAATGCAAATTTTGGTCCTGCGTAGTACTACTTCATGGATACTTACTATCGGCACAGCTGCGCTCCGTAACACACGGGTTTAGCGGGTGGTTAACTCGAGGTTCCCCTGCACGTGGACTACACACATCTGTGCTTAATGAGGAGCAGTAGGATAGTAAGACACACCGCTTCATAAGACATGTGAAGTTTCTGAGGTGGAGCCCGTCTGCAGGCTATAATTTCACATACTTAGATTGACTATTTTACGTGTCCAAAAAAAATATGGAGCCAGTGTCGGGGGTTAATAACGAGAAAACAAATCTAGACTACACAACAAAATGTCAAATATACGAGAAGAAAAATTGGGGATCCCCCCCCCCCAAAAAAATCACTGCTTTCTTCTGAATACTCCCAGGGCAAAGTCTAAAGGTGCACGGTAGTGATTGTGGGCTGAACTCACGAGTATTTCCTCACTGCAAAGTCTAATAACTTTCCACTGCATGCATAATACACGGCAGACGTGTGTGTGATGTTGCAGCCTTGCAAAGGTTTATGTGCAACTATAATGTCAGAATATTTTACAAAGTTGTTCCCCCCCCCCTCCCCCATTATAATGGACCTTATGTGCAGATAAATCCTTGAGTCAATAACTTTGGGGAACATTCATGTTTCTCCTCATTTATTCAGACACCACCACCTTCTTCCTTCTCTGGTTCCAATATGTAAAAAGATAATTTACCACCAGCGGAGTTTTGAGGGTTTCACATCTAAAAACTGAGACGTCCAAAAAAACAGTCCTGCACAGCAGAGGGGTTTTTTTTGTCCCAAAGGGTTTTATTAGAAGATACTTTACAGACGCCTAGACTCCTCGGGGCTGCTTGAAGTTCATGCCGACGGTGGGCTGGGTGACCTGCAGGTTGGACAGACTGCCGAAGTCCTGAAGAAGAGCGGAAGAAGAGTCAGAGACACCAGACTTCAATGTGAAAACAGCAGATTTAAGGGAGGACAGATGTCTGAGAGCGCCAGGGTCTGAGAGGAACGGGTCGTCCTTCAGACACGGGAAAGGCTCGCAGGTTGATCTTCCTGTACTATCAATGACCTGGCGACGAGGACGCCATGACCACTTTCGATACAGGGTGGAGGAAAAACATTTCTACAGCTGCACAGCTTCATGCTCCGTCCGTTCAGCCGTTTAAAAAAAAATAATAAGATAATAAAAATATGTTTCTCTGAAGTTCTCAAACTGCCAGTGACCCTCTGATCTTCACCTCGCAGCCTTAAACCACCTCATTACATCGTCGTTCGAGGCTCGTAACTTTCTGCAGGACGCCTCATTTAACGCTCGAGCCGCAGCTGCGTCAGTAACGAGCCGCCTCCTCCTGATCAAAGTGCCGCCGCATCATTAAACACGAAGCTTTACATCCTCCTGCTTCCCGTTTCTCTGCAGTCTACTCTGAATCCTAGTTTGTTTGAAATCCCACATCCTTTTACTGCACTTGGCTCCTGCAATGACGCAGTAATATCTAACAACGGTATCGAGTAGTGGTAGGAGTATTCAGAAGCAATACCACAATTTAAAATATAAAAGTAGAAGTACTGCACATATTGAGTAAAAGTATTATCAGCAGTATACAATAGTACAGTTGATTATACTTGTTTTAAATACTGTTCCTTTCATTTACAGTAATGTATAGGGTTTTATATACACTCATGACCGGCTGTGGACAATAATTAAATGTATTTCAGTACTTAAAGCTAAATTAGAGGCGTTTGTACTTGAGTATTTTCTTTTCACGCCACTTTCTCCTTCTGCTCCACCTCAGAGGGAGATGTTGTACTTTTTACTTCACTACATTTATCTGACAACTTCAGATCTTTACACAACACATTTTATAAAACTTTACAAAAGATGTTTTGTTATAAATAAAAGCCTCCCAACAGTTTAGCACACGACTGCTCATAACTCACAGTAACCACGGCTGTAAAAATATAAAGTGGCAGAATATTAAAATACTGAAATGAAAGTGAAGAACTGCACTCGAGTTGGCAGAACAGGTACTACTGTGACTACAGCCGTCACAGAGACTCACCAGCAGCTTCAGCATCTCCTTGGTGTCGGGATCAACTTCAATCAGCTCCTGGTCCAGAGCGGACACCTGCACAGGTAAACACACAGGGAGGAGTTAGACGTCAACGTATCAGTCACCTGCAGCAGCTCATCCTTCGTTTTACTAAAGCTGAACCGGCAGGCGGTCCTGCAGCTGCAGACGGAGGAGAAGCAGCCAGGAGGTCTGGGTTTAAACCAGAGCTGCAGGGATTAGGAGATTCATCTACAACCATTCTGAGAATCATTCAATTCATTTTCAAGCCAAAACAATTTACTGCTTTTCCTTGAGTGGACTGATAAATTAAATATATATTTGGACATCTGAAGACACTTTCCACCAACAACAACCTGCAGATTAGCTGCAGTCAGCCTGAACTACGCAGGAGGTAAAATATTAGATTTATGCATCATGTACGTGACGACGACCTCTGACCTCGTCAGCGTGGCGGGAAAAGTGTCAGTCAAGTTATTATAACATTACACACTGGACTAAATTAACTTCGTTTGTTTGGCTGAAACTAACAATTATTTTCTTAACGTTTGGATCTATGAAAACGTCAGAAAATGTTGATCACAGACTGCGTCCTCACATTTCTTGTCCACAACTCAGATATTCAGTCTACCGTCATAGGAGGAGGAAAAGAAACCAGAACACATTTAAAGAGCTGGTCGCTCTAATAGTCTGCAACTCATTTAACAGCCGACAACTAAAATCGATAATTTGATTAACAGTTGCAGCTCTGCTGCACCGTGTGTTCAACAGGAAGATGATTCACTACTTTGATGCAATTTAGAAAATAAATCTCATTCTAAGAGATGTGTGGTTTAAATACAGAACTTCCTGTTGCTATTTCGAGTAGTAAGTATTCAACCGTGAGAAGTTTCAAACACTCGTACGTTTGACTTGACCAAAACCAGCAGCATTAAAAACCAACATATTTACAGCGTTTTCCCTCCTTTACGTTAAACATGCAGACGTAAGGTTTGTCTGAGAGCGCCAGGGTCTGAGAGGAACGGGTCGTCCTTCAGACACGGGAAAGGCTCGCAGGTTGATCTTCCTGTACTATCAATGACCTGGCGACGAGGACGCCATGACCACTTTCGATACAGGGTGGAGGAAAAACATTTCTACAGCCGCACAGCTGCACGGCAGAAAGGCCGGGTCTTGTGTTACATCACACCAACAATAAAGAAGGGTCAAAGGTCACGGCGTGGTCACAGACAAGCGGCGAGGAACCACTTCTTTCTACCTCGAAGCGGAATAACCAGCAAACACCACATCCATGTCGGGCTGATCCTCAGCTGACCTCTGATTCTGTCCGTCAGCTCAGACAGCAGCTACCTCGCTGCCACCGTCATGACAATATGTTCAACTACCTCCAGCAGTCAGAGCTACAAGTCTGCCTGATCTCACCTGCCGCCTTTTCAATATACTCAACACGTTAGAAGCTTTTAGAAGACAACTCTTATTTTTAGTCGACGGTCCACAGAAGCACCACGCCGGTGTTTTTAAACCTGGGCCCTGTTTTCACATGTTGCTGTTAAATTTCCTTGTAGGTTAAAGAGTTTTGAATCCGTGAGACGATGGCGTCAACTGAAGTCTCGCTCAAGGACAGTTCACGTTCTGAAATCTGGTGAGAGGCGGGTTGTCGCAGGAAAACGCCGGCGGAAACGAGTCAGAGAGGGGAGGTTGTTGTGTAGGAATAACGCCGGCAGCTCTTCTACGTACACAACAAACTTCTCTCCTCGTTTATAGCGTCTTCCTGCAGAAACTCGCCTCTCGCCAGACTTCAGTTTCCTGTTAAACAAAGGGGGTCACAGCGAGTCCCTCTCGTAGGGATCCTTTCCAGATACCGTCAGACACCTGGTGTAACAGGCTTAACCTGTCGCTGGCAACAAGATGCTCTTTTTGTGGACGCCATTTTGACGGGCGCAATCGCCCCTAGAGGTGAAGCTGAAGCATCTACTGCACAGATGCAACTTTTTGGAGTTAAGAGTCATTTCAACACCAAAGCGTACAAAAAATATTGTTTAAAAACACCAAAATGATTCTCTAACGGTACAAATGTTGGTGTGTTCACA